GGGGGAGCACGTGGGTGGGTGGGGTGCACGAGGCGCGGTGGCTGAAACGAGTCGGTGCTCCGCGACGCATTTGCTCAATGCGCCGCGTGTTCATATATTTACATATTTCCACACACACATGCACCCCACTAATGCTCGTTAATCCACTGCTGGATACACAGCCCTCGCGACGCCGTGCGTGCGCGTGGTTGTTTGGGGGGGTGGGGGGGAATAGGTTAATGTCACCATGCCTCCAACCACGAATGGCCATTGCGGGTCTGTGGAGGGGCATGGTTGTGACTCTTGCCAAATTACGAACTCTGGGGGCAAAGTCGCCCGTCTCGTGCAATGTGCATTGTACACGAGTGATGTAAAACAACGGGTAACATTGGCACGTACATCAGTGGTGGTGAAATTGTGCTACGGTGCATTCAATGAGCCGAAGCCGGTGGCTTACGGAGCGACAGGGTGGGGGGGGGGGCGTGGCAGCAGCTCGCCCCGGGCACACGGAGCCCCGAGTTGCGCTCTCCGTCGTCGCTAACGCCGCTCCCTTCTGTTTCTCTCTCTCTCTCTAGGAATGAACACGAACTTTTAGGCCTCTCTCCTGTCCGCCCTTCAGTCCCTTGAACAGTAGTACGTAAAACAAACAAAGCGGGGAAGAGGCGCGTCACGAGCGTCTTGCATGTTCTAGAAGAACAAACAAAAAACCAAAACGGCGGAACCTCTCAACAAGATCTCTGCCGCGCGTGTCCCATGTGTGTGTGTGTGCGTGCGTCTCGGGAGAGTGGGTAGAGTGGTAGACCAATGTAGGACGGTGTGCCGAGTCCATGTGTTTGTGGCGTAGAGTTGAGTATTCCGTGACAGGCGGCGGGGTGTGGGTTGGTGTGAGACTCCCGTCTGGGGCGGAGTACGTGACCCCCCCCCCCCACCCCCTCGACTGTGCACGGATCCTACCGTAGGATTGCCCCCCCCCCCCCACCGGCCTCTCCCCGTTCGTGCCGCTGCCAATGCTGCCCCCAAATTCCCCGTGGGGTCGCGTTAATTTTATTAAAGAAGCGAATACCCCTAGGTTAGGTGGGGGGGGGGGGGTGAGCGGATGGCCTCGTCTCCCCCAAGCTGCATGCGACCTGTGTGCGTCTCCTGCACATCCCCTTGCCCCCCCCCATCGCCTTCCCGGTCCCCTTTCCTCCCTTCATCGGCCCCCGTAAAACCCCGAGTTTAGCCGCCGTGGCCACGTTGGGTGTGTTGTGATCAGTCGAACTCCTCCTCCATCACCACTACCGACGACCCTCGTCTCCGATCGTTCCTCTCCGTCCAGACCACGAGGAGGAGGAGCCCATTCGACTTGGCGGTGGCTGCTGCTGCTGCTGGTGTCTCTAATCGAGCCCGACGAACGCGCTGCAGTCCCGTGCGGTGCCCTAATTGTATCCTCGTCACTTTCATGACTTGCATTGTTAAGAACAAAAGACCCCTAAGAGTGATTCGCTGTGACGGTGACAACCGATTGGCTTCCACGCCGGGCCCCGCGACGATTCGACGCGCGAATTTTTCGCGTCGAGGATGAAACTCGACGACGCCGCCGCCGAGGGACATGGGGGGGGGGAGATAGCCCGGGGCTCCCCCCCCCCCCCCCGGGGCTTCGGTTTTAAGTTGTTTAGAATCGTGTTGTGGTTTAATTTGTAGTTTCTCTCTCCCTCCGGCGAGAACGCGGTTCTGCGTGGGTTGAGGCGTCTGGCTGTTGATTTGGAATCCATCGACCGCACCAGCCCCACGCCCCCCCCTCTACCAAACACAGTCGCATTTGTACCCCCCCCCCCCGTGTACAAACGAACGAGTTGGTGGCGTCTCGCGTTGATGGATCAGCGTTCGCAATCGGCGTCCCATAACGCCGCCGTCCTATATATACTGTATGTTCATCCATAGCCCCATTACGCGGTGGATCTTGAGAGCGGTACTACTGTAACAATTGGGGGGGGGGGCATCGTGGGGGGCAGAGCCAACCAGGGGTGGGGGCCTTTTAAGATGGAGCCCCCCCTCCCCCCTCGGGTTTTCAGCAGCAGCGCCCCCCCCCAACCTCCCCCCCCGGCTCCACGTGTACAGGCCCACCAACCTTGGTTACAAAGACGTCGAGACATTGCGTGTGTATACAGTACTTTAATGGAATTTCCATCTTTGTTTAAAATAACATTAATAATATAAAATAATATTGTAATATTACAGCATGCCTTACGTGACTGGTACTCCTTCTGGTGAGAAAAATGCAAGCGCCAGATAAGAAGATTAACTTATAATCCCGTGACCCAGAAGATGTTGACGATGAGCAGTTGTGGAGGGGGAAGCGATGGACGGATTTAAAGGTGGTTGTTGTCTGGATGAATGTACGGACGACGGGGGAGGTGTAACAGGTTCTCCCGCAGTAGCAGGGATCGCAGAGCGCAGATCTCGTCAGAGGCGTCGGAACGCGGCTCGCGTCGTCGTCGCGAGCGGATTTAAAAGTCCTCTCCGTGCGCGTCCACGTGTCCGCGTGTCCGGGCACTGTAGCGTGTACAGTAGCGAGCACGTGTTTCCTACTCGTGCGAGGTGGGAGGGTGGGCGAGACGCGTGTCTCTTCCTGCGAGCCGCCTCCTCTTCCTGCTGCTGCTGCTCATGACGATGCTGGGTTTTGTAACTCGCACAACCAATAATAAAAGCGCCAGTCTCTGACTGTTAAAACAGAAGAGGGTCTCCCGCTCGTGTTTTCGGGTTTCGTTTGCGCGGCGCGCGCCCCCTTGTGGGAGAGGCTCTCGCTCAGCCATCCGTGGCGATGATATTGGGGGTGGGGGGCAATTCGGGAGATGAATCTCAGAATCTTTACACTGGAAGAGGAATCCGATGAGCTATAAAGCTCTTTTAAACAGATCTTCAGTAAGGGGCAGGTCGCAATAACAAACGATACACGATAGGAGCGCAAAGTTTCGGAAAGAAGTAAGGCACTTAAAACAAACAAAACGGAACTTTTTAAACACGTTCCTTCGTAGTGGGCAGGTAGGAACTTGGTTGGACAGTGCATTCGTGCACGACAGACAAATAATCCCTGGTGGGCAGTGTGGACCCTGTTATTCCTCCCTGTATAAAATCTAACCATATAAAGCCCACAGCGTTTCGTTGTTTTAGAACAAGGTCTGCTGCTGGCCACGGCGCGAGGGCTTCACGAGGGGTTCGTGTCGTCGAAGGAGCGCAGACTGCATTGGGCCAATTGTATAATTGTGGTAAAGCGCATTGAAGTCGATATATCTACACACGAAGATGTGAGCCTGGGTCTGCTGCTGATGTTCTGATTGATGCGATTGGTCATTCCTGGTCGCGGCGGCTCCACGTGTCGCCACGAACACGACCACCACCGTCACCTGGGCCAAGGGGACGTTCACTCGAATCGAGATGTGACGGGGAGAGCTAAATACCCAACCAAAGTCTCTCAAGGGCCCAGACATCGATCGTCTTCGAGCGAAACAAACTCAATATCGGAGGACTCTCAATTATTAAATGTCACTTCCCGGCCATAAACGTTTTGTCAACGCAACTATTACGAAGGAGAGACATCACAGCGATACAGGACGCGGTTGGTCTGGCTCCACCAACTGAATGTGAAATTGTAGATGTTGCTCTGAAGCTACATCAGCCGTGCGAAAGAAGAATGCAACCTTTGGATGAACGCATTTCCCTCCCCACGCCGTACGTAGATCGTGGGGGCTATTTGACCAAACTTCACGCTGGTCACGGCGGCAACCTAATTGAGAACATAAATAGATCACGATGTTTTTGCTGCACCTGCCGTCAGCTGAAACGTAGCCCTTGCATCCCAGTGATAAGCCGTCTGTGATTATCACGCATGCAAGCACTATCCAGGCTCAACTCTGCTTAGCTTGCGAGATTCTGTGTTGATTTGGTAAGTGACCCGACTGTGAAAACAGCTGTTGCAAGGCTGGTACTGCAGCCCATCGATTGTCCTGCAATGATCCCCTTTGTTTAAAAATAAATCCTGAGTGTCAAGACTCGTTTAGGACAGTCCTCTATTGAAATGCTTCGCCATTTTATTAAACACATGCCTGCGGAGGGAGCTGGTAGGAACGTTGGGTTGCTGGGTCAATGGCCAGGGTCAACGGCGGCGTGGTGTATTCCGCAAATATGGCCGACTGTGAGGGCGGGCACAAGCCAGCGTGAGTAGGTTAAACGTTGAGTTTTTTAAGGGCACCACGGGGTTGATCAGCCCCTCCCTGCACGACGGACGGACACACTAACCCCCTGTGGGCTGGTGTAACCAGAGGTTCCTACCAGTATGAGCAGTTTAAGCACAGAAACGTAGTTCCCAGAGAAAATATGCCGCTTGTACCACACTGCCACCTACTGGTCACCTCACGACTTGGTAAACAGGAGAAATCCAGTGACAGCCCCGTGTCCATATTCACTGCGAGATGAGGGTCTCACCAGTAGCCCAGACTTAACCCTGCCAACTTTGTTTCAAAACAGTTGTCGCACACATTAAGATGATCTGTGGACTGCAAAAGTAACGTTTCATTTGCAAAGCAACAGCACTTTCACAGAATGACACCCCAGCCCCTTGCATCAACTTGTTTTCACTCGGTTTGATCACAGGATCTTAGCGGTGCCAGCTCTGGGGATTTGACATTGGAGTCACAATTCCACCACAGAATAAAACGGTGAACTTTCACGTCCACCTACCCTGGACGGGGAAACTCGAGATAAAACAATATTTCACGTGACTTGAGATATCAAAAATACAATTGAGGGCAATTCTCATCCTGATGTCAATACCGAAGATCAAGGCAGACCTTGCTCAAGTTGGACCCAATCACCTGCAAAGGGCAAGTCGAGATATAATGAATTGTACAACTGAAAATACTACAAATGATATCATGAATGCTGAATGGAAATTCAACTGGTGACTCACCTTGCAAAACCACACCAAAGCATGTGACATTAGTCACGAGCGACGATCGATGTTACATCCATAATTATGAATATGTGGCTCGAAGTTTTTTTTATTGAATACAGACAACAAATGATGATGACAAAAGCTGAGCTCCGTTACAGGCAACACAGTGGCAGAAATGGGGATAGTTTTTTCTTTAGTTGCGTATAAATAATTGCTTATAGCAGGCAGAACGGCACAGTATTAGAAATAGCTGTCTGCCTTTGCGAGACCGTGACAGATTAACATGACATTTTTTTTGTAAAAAACAGCAAGTTTGAAACATAACGACACGATACAGTAAGAGACGCATCATCTTATTCGAGATCAAACTAAATTACGCTGAACCTAATTATCTCAGAAACATACTTGTATTTTGTTGTGTAACTTCCTGCTTATATTTTATAACTTTCATTATATTTCATCGAACTTTCTCAAATTCACTGGCATTTGACAAAACCATTGAGCTCCTCCAGGAAGTGGATGTACTCCTGGTGCTCCAGCGCCGTGCTCAGTTCCACCAGCTCATCTGCAAACGTGTTGTCCACCCCGCGGTCCGCCAAAAAGTCCATCATGTGGTCGTACAGCGTCTGCAGGTCGGCGGCACAGCGATCGAAGGATGGGCATCGGTGGGCATGCGTGGGTGGGGAGGGAACGTGGCTTTCGTTATTTTACCGACGCAGCAGCAGCAGCAGCTGCACCCATCAGCTGCTCCAACTAGATTCGTGTCGGTTCTGCGCAATGTCCAGCTACGACAACGTAACGCGAGGAGCCGTCCATGAACCACTGCTGGACACGGGGCTCCCCATGCAATGTGGAAGACGAGGGCTGTTTGACCGGACTTAACCACGCTGGTCAGCGTGGGGGAACGTCGGGAGTGTCTAAGTGCAGCGCACCATGACATGTTGCAGCACTGCCCTCTGCTGCCCATTAATAATGAGTACAGCCCACAACCCGAAATGCATGCTGGTCACCAATCCAAGCATTAACCGGGCTCAATACCAGCTCGGATTTCTAGATCTGGGCTCGGGGACAATCCATGCGATTTGGTCATATGCAGTGATAAATATTACGGCTCTGTAAACAAGAAGCGTAGCGGCAGACAGAGCACTCACCCAGTCGAGCGTGTCCGTGTTGAGCGTGTAGCTTGTGTCCTTCCACTCGCCCTCGGCCGTCGGCTGGAAGCTCACCTCCCGGATGGCGAAGATGTCTCCATCCTCATCACCCTCTTCTCCGTGCGCAATCTGTTCATCGTGACACGACAGGCGAATCGTGATCAGCGTGTGAAGAGGGGGCCCTGAAGACATTCTCTTCTGTTGTCTCTCAATCGCGTTCCAATTGCGCATCATGTTGTCACGAGAGCAGCAAGTTTTCGTTCGGGGCAGTGTAACGTCACCGCGTGTTCGAGGACGGCCTCTGGAAAGTGCCATCGCAAAACTACTTCTGAGGTCCCATAAATGTTATCCATACTAGTTAGTGCTGTTACACTCCTACCAGCCCTCATACAGTTGATGTGATGCATGACAAGTTAAAACAAACATATTGAAATCTTCAGAGCTGTAAATTTGATTGGGATGAGGCCATCAACTCGCTGCACTTGAGGAAGCAGTTTATTAGCAGCTGGCTGAAACCCGATATCCAACCCAGGACCTCGGCAACGCCGGTTCAGTGGCCGACAGCCCTCTAAGCCACCAAGGTCACTTCTTATGACATTTGTTGACACGGTGCTGCCAAGAGACACCTCCTCACCTCATCGTCTGGGTAGTGGCAGTCAAATACGAGGTTCAACTTGGAGTTGCTCTTGTTGACCTCCACCACGAAGTTGGGCGTGGACACCAGGTCGGGCTGTCGATCGCAAACGGGGGAGAGACAGGTCCGCATTACCGACATGCTCGTGTGTGACACACACACACCGCTGTGTACAGCCGGTCACAGCTGCAATGGGAGCGAGCGAACGAGGGTATCAGAAGCTCACCTCCTCACTCTCATCCTTTTTCTCTTCTGCAGGCTCATCTGCGTTCGGGGGGATGCTGTTGTTGATGTTAAATGTCACCGTAATGCTGTGAATTATAAAAACAAAACCCAAAGAAAAATGTGAGGATTTCCATACAGTGTATAAGTTCAGTATTGGCAAGCATGTGTGTGGTGGGCACCTGATGATTAACCACCACTGCCAGGATTGTATTCATTATCACCACCACCACCGCTATTTTCTGGAGCGAATCTCAGATGTCCCCTTGGCAGTCTGGCGAGCGGTGGGGCCTGTGAGCGTACGTGCGCAGGGAGGCCTCACCACGGCAGCGCCGTGAACAAAAACCCACTCGCCATGCAGGGAACGGGACATCTGAGCGGGCCGGTTTGAGAGTGTGATACGGGAGAGTGTGATGCAGGAGTGTGTGATGCAGGAGAGTGTGATGCGGGAGAGTGTGATGCGGGAAACCGTGGGGGGGGGGGGCTCACGTCTCGCCCTGGAGCTTCTTTATCAGCTTGGCTTCGGTGCCGTTGAACTCGATCTCCCAGCCGGCCACCTTGGGCAGCGCCTTGTGCTTCTGGATGTTCTTCTCCTCCTTGATTTCGTCCTTGAGGAACTCGGTGAAGGCTTTGTCACCTGAGCGAGGGCCACGTGATCCCCAGGAGCAGACGCACACACACACACACGTGTTCAGAATCACCATGTATTATTTATATAGCGCTCCTCCCGTGCAGCGAGTGCATCGAAATGATATGGAATTACTTGCCCCGTCACGGGAATGTGGAATTTACACCACTTGCTCTGGGCTGTCCCAAGTGAATAATTTAAGTTTGGAGACACTTTGGGTGCCAGCGTACGGACACACGAGAGACGCATGACGTTTACAAGCTGAACATTACTCATATGATAAGATATCGCATTGAAATATATTGCACATTAGCTTGGCTTTCAAAACAATAAACATTAACACGAATTATCAGTCACTGCTATCATTACTCAAAATACGTACTTGTTGCAAGTACGCCCACTCACCTAATTACTGGGGTTTTTTCCAATTAACCAACCCATTGGAATCATTAAATCTCGTTTAAATATCACAATTAACCAATAACCCGACGTTAATTAGGCCCTCCCACGGTGCTAATTCTGGGCTGCGCTCACCGATCGTCAACGAGGCAACACAAACCACTGAGGCGCCGGCTGCGACTGGAGCACGCGGGCCGAGGGCTTCTTAGGCCACACCCGGCGCCCTTGAGCCTCCATCGCAGCCCGCCTCGGATTAATCCACTCAAGACGTCTGTGCACCGCGGAGCATTCGCTGCTAAATCAACGATTTTAATTCTGAAACGTTTTCGTGATCAAGTTGAACATTTCGGAGGGCGTGAGATTAGGCGGAGGCGCAGCTCCAACCCCCGCGTCCCCTCGCATCTCCCCGTCGCCCTAGGCCCGGCCGCGCACCGGCAGTACGGGCCCAGAATATATCGATGATTGGCATCAGACAATTATTGACATTTCAAGCTATCAATTGCGTTATATTATATATCTTTTAAGAACCCGGACAGTCAACAACTGCCACTTAAAAGTGGTTTCTGTAAACGTGCGCTGGGGGTTAGGAGGAGGCACAGAGAGGCAGGCCTCGGGGATGGATCCCGGGCAAAGAAATCGGCTAAGGGACCTCACGGATATGCAGTGGGGATTAAACAGAGCAGGCGGGGTGGTCACAATGAGAGGGCTCGGACTCGCGAGATCGCGCATCGGGGACGATATCAGAGAAAGGGAACCGGTGAAAGGCCTCGCGGGCTGACAGGAGGTGACAGAGGAGACCTCGGCCGCCAGGACTAAGCCCTTGGGGCCCATTACAGCCAGGACACTGCGGCAGCCTTACTTTCCGTGTGGAGGCCGCCGCAGCCACACGACAGGCTGCCGGGCACCCGCGGGATGAGTCCGCTGCACGGCGCGGCCCAAGCCCAGGCGCGGCCTTGAGGCGGCGCGGGCCATGGGGCCCGCGAGCCGGACAGCGGCAGCAGCCGCGTCGTTCCGCCTCGGCTGAGGGTGCTGAGCGGGGCCGCGCCGCACAGGCGAGCAGCCTTGGCCACTTTGCTGAGGAACATGGCTGAGATGAGAGAGCCGGTGACCGGGAGGCTGGTGGCGGGAGGGTTGAAACGTCGGACACGAGAGGGGAGACAGCCACGCGGACCCGACAACGCGAGAAGCACGTGTGCAAGGGGAGGGGCTCTCTGGCGCGCGCCCATTGGACGGTGCGGCCACGTGACGCGGCGGCGGCGCGCACCCATTGGCCGCAGCGGCGCGCGCGTGCGCCTTGGCGAGGGGCGCGTCACGTGGGGCCGTGACCGCGATGACCGCTCCCGGCCACGCTGCTGCATGAGCCCAGCGCCCCCCCCCCCCCCCCGCTGTCTCCAGGATCTATCCACTGCTGGATGACCCCAGTGTCCCCTCCCTCCGGGATCCATTGCTGGATGACCCCCGGACCCCAGTGTCCCCCTCCAGGATATATCCACTGCTGGATGAACCCAGCACCCCCCCCCCCCTCCAGATGAGCCCAGTGTGACCTCCTCCAGGATCTATAAACTGCAGGAAGAGTCCAGTCCCCCCCCCCACCTCTTACTTCAAGATCTATCAACTGCTGGATGAGCCATGTTTCCCTTCCCGCCAGGCTCTATCCACTGTTGAATGAGCAACGTTTCCCTATTTTCAATCCACTGTTGAAGTGTGTTCATCGCGCTCTAGGTACGCGACGTGCATAGCACGGTTGTAAACGTCCGGTGCGAAAGAAGTTTAACGTCCACGATCTGTCAACCGCTGGATGCGCCCAGTGTCCACTGCTGTTAGTTCTCATCGGTGTGGCAGAACCCCGCGGGGGTGTCAGGGCAGATTGTGGGACAGACAAAGAGGACCCGTGAGGGCTTCACGGTTTGACGCCAGGGGGGGGCATCGATTAACTGGCCGAGTGCGAAACTTCTGCAACTGCAGTGAAGTGTTTGGAAGATAACATAACAATGCGTATTCATTTACCTGCTGACAGCCCGAGGGGACATTTAAACATCTTCTCTAACCTATAAATGCCATTCTTGATTTGAAGCTATCGTGACTGCAGGATATTCATACTCTTTGGTTCTTTCGGTAAAGTCAAGTAGGTAGAAAATTAAATAAATCTCGACGTTTCGGGCGCAACACAAGCGTCCATCATCAGGTGGGAAAGCATGGTCTGCTGCCGGGGAAGACTGTTTTAAAAGGTTTGAAATGGAAATGTGTGTAGCCCAAGGGCCATAAAGAAGTGGCCTTGGCTAGTGATGTTAATGTGAGAGATTAGCATGATGTTCATGTGAAATCGAAGAGTGGTGCAATCCAAAGGCATGAGAGTGCAACCCAAAGCTTAGGTCGCAGCCAGCGCCGTGCATCCACATCGTCAGGATGCTACTTAGAACGCGTTTCGCAAAGCCCTCATCCCAAAGATACCCATCGCTATTTGTTGAATGGATAATTAATTAATTAAAGCCCCTATTTCGTCTTCAACTCTTAAACAAGAGCTTCCTGACGCCTGGCGAGGTGGGAGGGTTGCGCTCTGGTTCCCGCAACTGCTTTGGCTGTCGAGTGTCAAACACGTCCCATGGGCTCTCTCTCCCGTGAGTCGTGTCTCCATCTGTGCCCCAGAACCTCCTCCCGTCACCCCGAGCCGGGCCTGCATTCACTCGCTAATTCACTCTATTGGGTGTTCGGATTCTTGTGGGAAGAAATCAGAGTGTCCGGAGAAAACCCCATCATGCATACGAGGGACGTAATGTGTGTACGTTGAACTTCTTTCGCGCCGTACGTAGCCAACCGTGCTAATCAGAGGTGCTCAAAGTTCCGTACAGATATAATTTAAGAACCCATTGTTGCACTAATATCTGCTGATTACCTCACAGTAAGAAGAATAAACACCTAATTCGAGATCCAAACATCGCACTGCCTCCTGGTTTAGTTTTAATACGTCGGCTTTCGCGACCAATATTCATAATAAAGGTGTTTTGGGTTAACCGACCACCAACTGGGACTTTGACATTCCTCCTCGAAGACACAGTGGTGTAACCATCAGCCGCATCGTCAGAACATCAACATGGCGATGTGAACACCTTCATGAACGGAAAATGAAAGACAGCCACAAAAAATGCAGTGTGCGATTGTGGCCACGCAACCCGAACTATGGACCATTAAGCAAACAACTGTTCCTTGAATGGAGGCAGAATAGAAACACAACACAAGCTCTCTCTCTCTACGGAAGCCCTCTCGTGGCCAGCAGCAGACCTCCACATCGGTAGTTAGCTCCTGAACATGTGAATGCCATCCGCCTGAATAGAACATTACAAAGCATACGAACATCTGGTATTCCTAGGCAATGTCCCATTCAGGCGGGGGACTACTCGGGTTCAATTCTGCTGATTTGCGAGGTCCGACTCGATCGGGCACATTCACGGGGAGCTGAACGGAGTTCAAAAGAACTCGCAAACACCAGCCTGTTGTGAAAGACCCAACGCAGAAGATCCCAGGGTTGCATGTTCCACGAAGCTGCTCATGGTCCACCCTAAACTACATCCACGGCATACATCATGGCAGTAGATGGGGATACCTGATGATGCACACATTGAAAACTAAAACTCTCCAGTGTGCGACTGTGGTCATCCAGAACAGAGACCGTACAACGTAAAACGACACAATGTCACGATCCACAAATACGACGAAGGAGACATCACAGCGATGATGATGATGACGATACGCTACTACTCCGCTGCTCCTGACGCTGTTGTCTGGGCTTGACCACCTGAAAGTGACGTTGTAATCGTTGCTCTGCATCTACATCAGCAGCCGTACCAAACAACAAGAAGACGACTGGGATTTTACCATCGCCAAATTCTCAGACCGATGTTGGCAAACTCTGATTAAATTATTTTTTTTACTTTCTCCGTAATTCACTGACTAGTCCACGGCCATCAGGCCCTTTCAGGGAGATAATGCATTTTGACGTTTGGCCAATGTGTGGTGAAATGAACGAGTGTTGTGTTTTGTGTGGGAGGAAGCTGAGACGCTAGGAGAACATCCTCCACGCTGACGAGGGAGCAAGGCTGACGAGTCCGCACAGATGGGTTCACGAATCCACGCGTTTTCCCCGTGATGTCCTCACAATATCACTGCCTGGCGGGTTTGGAAGTTTCGCACAACACCACCTCGAAAGGAATTGGAGAAACACCCTCAAGCAGGATCCTACTGAAATTAAACAGTCTTGAGACGTGCCTGGATTAATTGCTGAACTACTACCAAGGGACATCATTTAGGTATTTGTTATGAATCCGGTTACTGCAGGAGTGTTAGACGGATGCGTTTATTCGAACGCATTCAAGACACAGCACGCGCAAGCAATGTTCTATTGGTGTGTAATGTGATAGTGCCGTTGTCCACAAAGGGCAACACACGTACACGTGTTGCTATGGTACACACAGGTACACGTGTGTACACGTTTTGCTATGGTTACACAGGTACACGTGTTGCTATGGTTATACACAGGTACACGTGTTGCTACGGTACACACAGGTACACGTGTTGCTATGGTACACACAGGTACACGTGTGTACACGTTTTGCTATGGTTACACAGGTACACGTGTTTCTATGGTTACACACAGGTACACGTGTTGCTACGGTATACACAGGTACACGTGTTGCTCTGCTATTTATGTACACTACTCTGCGATATTCGCACAGGACACATACGGTACTTGTGCTCTCATTCGCATGATTTATAAAATGTTCACGTTTGACAAATGTTACTTGAACAGTGAATGTATAATTGCTCCACCGACACGCATTATTCCCCAACACGTTTAGCATTTCTAACATGTTTTATTTTCATACGCAAGTGATGAGTTAAAAGCCGAACGTATATCGTTTAAACCCAAACACCATGGCAACAAAATAAAACAATCTGGGCGATTCCGTTTCCCGCTGCGCCCGCGGCGTTGTCTTTGATGCCACGTGGCAGTCACGCGCCTCGATCTCACGACCACGTGGACGTACTCCTGCCCAAAGTGAACGCCACTTCTATTCGTCAAAGTCTAATTAGCTCGTCGCTTGAACGTCGCCTGTCTTCATCGCTGCTGGCGGGGCACACGATGCTTGGGAAGCGGCGCAGAGGTCGCTTTGTTTGTGTGTTTGTGATTGCCGGAGAGCCTTGGCGGCCAGCTGCGGGTGGTGGTGGTGGTCCGCGTGTGACGGGATTATTGGAGCGTTGTGGTGGAGGAGGCGCGGGGAAAGTGAACGAGTTAAAGGGGTTTAACACCGAGTTAGGAGGCTTTCGCGACTAATGTAATTCATAATAGATGGGTTTTTTTGGGTGCGATCGCATAAATATATAAATGTGGTGTCGTGAAACCCGCCACCACCCGACGCAGCCAATTAGTAAGGTTTCTCACGTGAGCAGAACATACAAAACATAACAGTACACAGCACACCGATTGTGTTGTAAAGTAAAACCACATTTATAATCTCATATGAATCCACAACATTACAATCTTGAGTACATTTACAATCGAGATTGTAAATCTGAGTACATTTACAATTGAGATTATATTAATTCTGAGTACAGAATACAGAATGAGTATTGTTAATGTTGCGGATGTTGTTGATATTGTGGATGTTGTTAATGTTGTGGATGTTGTTAATGTTGTTGATGTTGTGGGTGTTGTGGATTTGCTCTCCAACTCACAACCCGTCACGAATTGTCGCGTTCTGTTTGCGTGACAACCCCCTCACTTATCGGCTGTGTCGCGAGCTGGCAGCGGCGGCTTTTAACGACACCGCATTAATATCCACGCGATCTAAACGCCCCCACCCCACAAACAACAACAACAACCCCCCTCAGTGTTGTGGAAGTTAAAGTGGGTACGAGTGAGTGAGCGAGCGGGCGGGCGGGCGTGGAGTTCCTCGCCGCTCCATTTCGCAATCGCGTTCCGCCGCGGGCCTCCGTAGGCGAGGCGCGCGCCCTCGCGGTGCACGTCGGGAGGCGCGGCCTGAGCGGCACAAGGAGCAGAGGAGGAGGCCCCCGACCCCGGCCTCGGCTCCCGGCTCCGGGTCTCGGCCCACCGCCCCCGCGCCGGGCCCCGTCACAGCGGCCCTGACTCCTCTCCTCCTCCTGCTCGCCACGCGCGGGGCAACCGTCGCGATGCCTCCGGCGCCGCCCCGGGTGAGTGCGACGGCGAGCGAGGCCTATCCCGAGGGCTCCCGCCTACCCGCCAGCCTGACCG